ACTTTTGAGGGAGGCGTAGTAACATCAAGTTTGGAAACCACTGTGGTAAACTTTTTAAAAATTACTGTTCATCGCGTATTGACTGAAGTTATTGTTTTTCCATTTTTTGTGTTTTCTTTCTTAGGTCCAGTACTTCTGGGACTACCCTTGTAGCTAAAATTGCAATTGTTCTGTGGTGCCTCATTTTATTCAAGTGAATGAAAGAGCGCGTTATCGCAGCGTGACGTAATTAACTTCATTTTATAGGGATGTATAACATCAATTATATATTAATTCCAATATCAGTCATATAAATAGACTAATTAATAGAATAAATAATTTAATATTATTTCTAATACAACTCAAATAAGCTTTTTTTTTCTTTGATAATGAAACACATTTACTTTAAAATTTTATCAATGCTTCGATTATTTCACCACATTAAAACTAATAGTTGCTTATTGAAGTATACATAAAAATACATGCATTTATTTTATACAATTTAAAGTGGTAACATTTTGAACACTTCAAATATACAATTGCAATAATTATTAGCCTAAAGATACAAACATCATGCAGATTTATGTATAATGTTCAAATATAACGATCCCCGACCTTCGTGATGTATAATATTAGCATTCGTGATCTATCATTGGTTGGTAACAACGGCAACTTTGGACTCGATTGTGCTTCGTCCAAAGAATATACGAAGGAAGAGCAGCATGCAATTAATCAATGACTGTAATTACAGGAAGATTGCTACGGATTGAAATGAGCAGTGCAAGAATAACAGAGGTATATTAATATGCAATTATTCAAAGTGCAAACTACAAATATTATGCTTCTTGCATTGAGATTAGCGTTCTTGCAAAATCTAGATATAATATATTGCACAAATAGTACTTGAATATGTAATATATTGTTTTATTACATAATAATGTTGAAACATTTACATTACACAAACATTATTAAGATCAATTATTAAAAAAAAATAAGTTCCAAAATGCATACATTTACTTAAAATATATCTACAATCAAAATTAAGTGTTAAATTAATATATTTTATAGAAGACTAAATGTGAACTTATACAAGTTACATATTGTTTCATTGATTCATAAATAATGAAGTAGCAATCCATTTATTGCAGATTTTACAATTATAGTTACTCAATCAATGTGACTATTATTGAATGCATCCACAATTATTTGCAATTAAAGCAAAGGCGTAGACCTGTAATTCGATTTATGATTGCAAGTGTATAAAGTTATAATTGGATTTCAATAACATACCTAGTCAGAATGAGAATATACGATTCATCAAATAAAATTAATAGAATCTATTCAATTTCTATTATTAATAATTATTCATTGTAGTAAATGATTATAATTTTTTTTAAGTTTTACACTTAATATATTGATTTTCTTCGGAAACAATTCTTTCCAAATTTTGTATATAATACATAAATTAAGATAGTACTTATAAAAGAATTTAGAAAAATATAAATGTTTGAAGAATTAGGAAATTGAAAAATTTGTGCAATAAATATTAAAATAATATTTATTTAAAATGAATCAATTTGTTGATTATTAATTAATTAGTATTAGTATTAAAGTAGTTTTTTTATATTCATATAAAATACTTACCGACAAATTTTCTACTGATTTGACCAAAAAGGAAGAAATACTTTTATATTACCTCGAATTCAATTTATGACCATTTCAAACTATGGAACGGAACTCCATCGTATGTGGAGAAACGTCTATATTTTGTTCTGTTGCAAAAGTATTCAATACTGTTAAGTATATGTTTGTATAGTCTACTTGAGTATTGTAAGTGTCTGAGAAAATATCATCATCTTCGTGAAATATTTTTAATTAAGTTTGTTTGGTAATTAATAGAACAACAGTGGTAATCTTTTGATTACATGATCAGGATTCATTTCTGGGCGATAAGGTACTTGGTATTTAATTATCATATTTAAAGAGTGTTGGGCTATGTGAATATTATTAATCGACGTGTCTTTATGACCCCAAGTGTTTGACCTCCTCCCCCTCGTTTGAGCAACTGAAAAATCCTTCTCTCGCATTCTGCGCTTTTATATATATATACCCGACTGAAAGTTAATTAACGTCCAATGCGTCCGACAAAGACGACGATAAAAAAGACAACGAGAAGTGAACGAAGGACGGAGAGAGAAAGATAGAGGATCCACACGTTGAAACCCCTGATTAACAAACGAGCTCGCAGCTCGAGATGGATGTTCGCAAGCAAGTGAAGAGTAATTAGAGGGCAGAACCGGGGTTAGTTTGATCTTTTTTTTCTTGTTCTTCTTCTCTTGTCTAAGAGGAGGAAACGTTAAATAATTATACAGGGGGGGTGGTCCGAATTCCATCGGTCAGGAAAACAAAGACAGAATTCCAAACGTGCGGCATAAATCAAATTCGTTGTGTGCGGATTTAGCGCGCATCATGATGATCATCACCATCGTCCATGACTCCTCTCCATTCACCGAAACACGCTAATTGATGCATAATAATATTTATGGCTCACCTCCACGGATCCCATCTATCACATCCATTTTACGCCACGCATAAACAACGTTCAACAGGCGTCGCGCATTATGTAATTAAATCGTGTTCGTTGCTTTCCTCTTCGATTCCCTCATCACTCGTTTTCGCGCAGATGGAATCCCTTCTCCATCTGGGGTCTGATGAAGTTTCGCTTCGGAGAGCTGAAAACGTTAGGCGTTTTCATGATATTAATTATAGTTTTGATATCTCTACACTTCGTTTTATCTGCTGCGTTTATGGTTAGCACTAAATTATTGTCATTTGAATCATTCATAAATCATTGAAAGAGTTTTCCTTTTGAAAAATTTACATTTGAATTATTCATAATTATGGTTCTTAATAAGTCTCCGGTCTGACACATATATGGCAATACTGTTGACCCATATGGTTTCTGGATAGTACCAAACTTCAAACGATACATGTCTACATTTTATGACATTCTGACAATTAGTTTACAAATTACAGTGGTTTTAGTGGCCCTAGTTTTGTAATTTTCAAATGGATAAAAAAAAGAAGTTATTGCAGACTTATTTTGAGAGAAAAGACAAATTGTTCTACAAAAAAAAGCAGAGAAACATTAATTAAGAATGGATTTAATTAACTATATTTTTAATTATTTATAGTGAACTATTTATTTTGCAAACTAAATACTTTGTAACCTAATTTTTAAACTCATAATCATTTAAAGTTTGCGTTTTTTGTTGTCTTTTGTTTGAATTGCAAATGAAATTCCCCTTTGGAGTTCAACAAGTTTGCATGTTCTAAAACTGTATGTAATGATCCGCACGTTGAAAGGTGAGGGCACTAATTATTATTCATTTACCTGTACTTGAAACCACACTAGTACAGTAATAGATAATTTCATGCATTTTAAAATGTTATTAATAATTAATTTTTTTTTTGTTGATATAATGAAAGTCGTCTGTGGTAGTTTTCATTCAAGTTTGAAAGTAATGAACTGTCTTTGCTTACTCTTAGATTCGTATCATTGTGTGTCAGTGATTGCTTCGAGCGTTTTCGATTAAAATCGTTGAAGTATTTCAATGTTGCTTCCTGAAGCCCATAACTGTATTCCATACGACGACCACATTTGGTTCGAGATTAAGTATTTTATTATTCATAGATAGTTTTGATTTTCTTTGCAAGTTACAAAATAAAATATACATCATTTATTTTTTTGCTATTTAAAATTATTAATCTTTGTGGTATGTAATCATTTGGTTTCAAAGGAAATGGATAAGTACAAAAGATATAATTGAAAAGATTATAGAGATTTTTTCTTGGAAAGTAATTAATTTATTAAAATTTACAAATTAATTTATTCAATTAAAAACCGTTATTCTGAGAATTTCCTATAACTAATTACATTAATTAAAAATATTTTTAGTATATCTTTCAATAAAAAATAAACATTCATTCGAAGTATTATTTCCTTTGTTAGCTTTGAAATAACACATTATTTGTCTTGTTATTTTAAATGCATATTACGATATAATTCTTTGTGAACTTCATTTTATGTCATTTTAAGTCAGATTTTCAATTGGATATAAAATTAATAATTAATGTTTGCAATCTCCTACAAATATGAAACAATTTAACAAAATAAAACCAAACATTTTCTTGAAATATAAAATTAATGTACGTTTAATAATGCTATTAAAATAAGTGTCAATATTTGTAAAGCTATAATAATGTTATAATAATGTTTATATATCATTCTTAAGATAATTACATAAACGACCACTTGTATGAAAGTTGAATATCTTACCTTTCCAACAAGCCTACATACATCTTTGTAGTGTCATCGAATCGCCTGTTATAAGCTGAAGAACATTTTTTTTCTCGTTTTTTATTCAGTTTTTACAGTTTTTCGTGATTTTCTCGAAACATCCTTAAGATAATTCCATCATCTACCACTCGTATGAAAGCTGAATATTTTTTCTTTCCAACAAGCCTACATACATCTTCGAGCTGTCATCGAGTCGCCTGCTATGAGCTGTAGAAATTGAAAAAAAAACACATACTGAACTTATTATACGTAACAGAGAAATGACGGTATTCTCGTTTTTTATCAGTGTTTTCGGTTTTTCGTGAATTTCTCGACAACCCCTAAAGGTAATAACATCATAGACCACTCGTATGAAAGCTGAAGATCTCACCTTTCCAACGCATCTACATACATCTTTGTAGTTATATCGAGTCGCCTGTTATAAGCTGAAGAACATTTTTTTCTCGTTTTTTATTAAGTTTTTACAGTTTTTCGTAATTTTCTCGAAAAATCCTTAAGATAATTACATCATCGACCACTCGTATGAAAGCTGAATATTTTGTCTTTCCAACAAGCCTATATACATCTTAGTGCTATCATCGAGTCGACTGCTATGAGCTGTAGAAATTGAAAAAAAAAACACATACTTAACGTTTTATTCGTAACAAAGAAACTACGTTTTTTCTAGCAAGTATATATATATGTTACTGTGGCTTTATCCTTATAGCTGTAATTCGCGTTCAAAGTTGAAAAATGAAAAACAAACTCACTGCTTTTTCGTGAGTTTGTTTTTCATTTTTCAATTTTTCAAGCAGTGTTTTCACATTTCATTGATTTTCTCGAAAACTATAATACATAGAATGAATCGAAACGATGCATATGAAAGCTGAATGTTTGAGGAATCTAGTATATATTAATATATTTCTGCGGCTTTATCCTTATAGCTGTAATTCGCGTTGAAAGTTGAAAAAATGAAAAACTAACGTTGCATGATCATTTTCTGAATATGGGATTACGTAAGGTTATTAAGTACTGGAAGAAATTGTAAGTAAAATAATATCCAAACTCGAAATCGAATAAATTAGTGAAAAATAGGTAATTTTGTTGTCTAGAGAAAATAAGTAATAGTTGCGCTTGTAACCTAATAGCCGTATTAAATAACGAGTAGTGGTAATATCACTTTTTCTTTCCTTTTGGGAACAGTGAACGAAAGGAAATATATTTCTTAAACGAGGAAAAGATTACAAGAGCCGACGAATCGTTTGCATAATTTAAATATTGTTTATTACACGGAACACCAAGTATTATCTAATAGTGAATTCCACCACAAAAGAGAGGTATTATGCTCCAAGACAGTCTGAAAAACTGTCCGCAAGATAAAAATTCCAGTGAAATTGATTTATACGGCCTTCCAACCATTTTCGAGGATACAAAAAGTGTGAGCGGATTATTTATGAGTAAGGTGCAACTTGTATTCAACGTGGAAGTGTGTTTCGGCTTTTTAATCCTCCTGTTCTTTCGACGTTTACGATGGAATCATCATCGTTGAAAATGAATTTGTCGTACGTAATCCTTCTTCGGCATTTTCCGAAGTCTTATGGTTCGATGCGCCACCCATGATGAGGAGTTGCATGTGCTTGAGGATGAACGAACGAACGAAGGAAGGAGGCACCGCGCCTCAAGTAAACAGGATCTGGATTTGCACGTGCCGCGTCTGTTTATTGAACTTGAACATGTGTGCGCGGTACAGAAATAAAAGGTTTCCTTCTTCGCTCTGTACCTCGGATGCATGTACATGCGTATCCTATCTTCTCTTCCTCTTTCCATACGGAAATAAATCTCGCTGGGACTAAACGCGAGACGTCAAGATTGTATTCGTTCCCGTTTTTTTTTTTNNTATTTACGTGAATATTTATGCCGCATTGCGTGGACGTGATAAGGAGAGTAAATTATATAAGGGAGGCGCGACGAAGAAAAAAAAATTATTGCGCGCAATAAAATGATGGAGAATATTTTTTTTTATTTTTTATTTTTTTTTTGAGGGGATGAAATATGAGGAATGTGCGTGTACGTTATTTGAATATCGAGTGTCCTTCGTTCAGGACGTTTCGATATCGATTTGCAGCGAGCGCCTATAGGCAACTTTCGAATCACCCCGTTATTTCAGTTTGCCTGATTGATGGTGCCATTCCTGTCTATTTAATATTCAAATTGGTTTCACATTTGAATACATACAAATGTTAACATTATTTATTATATTATACTTGTACAAGTACTTGAAAAGCTATAATAGTCATGTACATAATATGCGCGTTCAAAGTTTAAAAAATGCTCGAAAAAGCAGTGTTTTTACATTT